TGTAATCAGAAGTGCGAAGGCGAGGTTGTAGTAAGCAAATTTAATGCAGCTCTTTGTTCCACGGGTCATGGTCAATGTAAAGGAGGGGTCTGGAGTATAGGAGACTGTCATTTTATTTTTCCATTTCCCTAAAGTAAACTCACATGGGCAGCCACAGACACACGCACACACATACAAACACCTATGCTTCAGTGACACATGTTAGCGAGTGCTGTGGGTATGCTAGGAGTCATGCTGGATTATAGTGACACAATGAAGAACAAAATAGACTTAGTTCCTAGACTTAGGAAACCTATGTCCTGAGCAAGGAAGATGGAGTTTTAAAAATTCAACCCCTGAATGAAGATCTCATTACAAGTCATGATGAGCATTTTGATGTGAAAACACACCCACATTCTCTTACATGGGCAGAACTGCCATACATAGCTCAGCATGTCACACATTTTTTATTCATAGAATGGTAATATTTTTAGCAGTACTATTGTTCTCAACTTTGACCTTGGAGGCAGGATTTAATAGACCAGGGAAGAAATTCATCAGGTTCTGTTGTGTCAGAAAAATGAATTATTAAGGATGTCTTCCAGAAGCAAAAATTCATTGTCTTGAAATTTTATTAATTTTATATGGCTGAAAGTTCTGAGAATTGGTTACTATATTAAGGAATATGAAAATCTTCTAGGTTGGTTTTCAAAAAATATGTGTGCCAGAAGATTTTTAAACCTTCATAAGATAGGTATGCTTTTGCCTGAAAGCTTTGGCTGAATCTGTTTCATTCTGTTTTCTAGAGAAGCCATTTGAAGCAGAATCCAAAACATGAATTGTAGAGAATTAACATTGACCCTTTGGGTGCTTATATTTGTAAGCACCACAGGTAAGTGATCATAAATTCTCACAAACATATTTTATTAGTAATTGAGAAATGATGTCCAAGTTTTTTCTTTTAATATGAAGGTGGTACTGAAGATGCTGAATTTATTAAGATTAGTGACCTAATTTATTAAGATTAGTGACATTGCCAACCATTTGGTATCCCAGACATAGAGAAAAGAGCCATAGGAATGGGATCAAGTAAAAAAGATGTACATGGTGTTATCAGAAAAGAAAAGATTCTGCAGTCCAAGTTGATGTAGTGAGAGCAGAGTGAAAAACTTGCATCTTGAAGTAAATTACATTTGTCTGAGGTGAAAATTTCTTTCATGTTATTTGAAATTGAGGAGGTGATAGCCATCTTTGTTATTGGGTTTTAGAAAGTTTGAAACACACTCTCTCCTTCCTGAGAGGAGGCAAATATTCATCTCATTATTTAAGTAATAATGAGAAATGTAAATGAAAAATATATTAGAGAGGTTAAAAAAAATAAAATGAGAAGGAATATACAAAAAAGAGTCTGGCCAGACCAGGGAGTTCAAGTAGGCTTCACAGTAGATGTCAAATATCAATTTTAATTTATTAGCAGTGATTGTCTAGAGTTCTTTTTTTTATTGAGAAGGATTCCAAGACTCCATTCTTTAGAGTTCCATGATTGAATAGCAAAGCATTCCTTAGGCTTTGGGAAAGAAAATGGGAGCACAAATATTAATTTGCCTTGATGTATTATCTGGGAGAGGGAAGCACATGGGCCTGTGTTCCCTGCTTTGAGAATTACTGCTGAAGAGATAGCAGAATTAAGCTTTTGGTAATTTCAAATGACACAGGTCCAATCTCAGGGTATATTTATTTATGTGGATCCAATTATTATTGAGATACCTGCAATACAGTCCTACCCAGATGGTAAAGAAATGAGGTAGATATTTGTTTTTTGATATGCAATGATCTGTCAGAAATGAGTGAGTGGAAAAGCAAGGTGAAGGAAAATGTGTCATGGGTCTCATGTTCTGTGGACATACACTAACAGCCTTGCACCTTGTTACAATGAGAGCGTGCTTCAGGCACAGAAACAGCCATGTAGTCTATTGTGCAATGTTGCCAAATTCATTGCTGTCTGCCCTGGAGAGCACTTTTCATGAATGGTTCCCTCTAGGAAGACATGACAATGTTCTACGTATAGGATTCACTGAACCTAGTCCAGTTTAAGTGACAAAATCTTATGATTGTTCAAACTGAAGACAGTTTCAAACACAGAATTTATTGTTGTTGGCCCTGCTGGGTTCTTATATTGTGTTCATAGAAAAATAGGAGTGCCTATTTTGGCACTTGGAACTCCGCACACCTTGAACTCCTCTCATTTATCCCAACAAGGACCATTTCCAGCAAGCATTATGGTAATCAACAAAGTCTCTAATGGTAAACACATAAGTAGATACCCAAAGCTACTAGCTGCCCAGGGGATGGGATGTGGACTTTTGACTATCAATCTCCCACTTCTGGAGAGTGTGTAATTCAGATTCGGTTTTCTCAAATGATAATACTTCCAGAGACCACATGTCCATCCAAACACAGTCATGTGTTTATAGAAGCTTTTTAAGATTTGCCAAAACCTGGAAACCCCGAAATAACCCAACATCCAATAGACATTTGTTTAATAAACCAAGTCCCCAACATGTATCCCTTTATAAGATGGATAAATTGCCAAACGATAACACAATTAGATACTACATGACAATGAGAAAGGAACACATCACTGCTATAGCATGAATGCCTTTATAACATAATAATGTCAAAATAACACAGACATAAAGGAGCACATATTGTATGGTCTATACATTTTATTATATTAATTCTAAAACAGGAAAGTAAATGAACTGTTAATGGCTCATCATGATTTTCAGTGTCAATTGAAATTGACACCCACATGTACAAATGTATCACACCTTCTATGTTAAAGTATTAATGTAAAATAGAGATTGCATAGCAACCAGAAAACATAAAGTTGGTGCTCCTTAACTCTTGTGCTTTGAGTTAGATTTGACATCCAAGTTTTCAAAGAATATGTATTAGTTCATTTTCATGCTGCTAATAAAGGCATACCTGAGACTGGGTGATTTATAAAGAAAAAAGGTTTTATTGGCTCACAGTTCTGTATGGCTGGGGAGGCCTCAGGAAATTTACAATGGTGGTGGAAGGGGAAACAAACACATCCTTCTTCACATGGTGGCATCAAGGAGAAATGCTTAACAAAAGGGGAAAAGCCCCTTATAAAAACATGAGATCTCATGAGAACCCACTCACTATCAGAACAGCATTAGGGTAATTACCCCAATGATTAAATTACCTTCCACCAGGTCCCTCCTATGACATATGGGGCCTATGGGAACTATAATTCAAGGTGATTTGTGTGGGGACACAGCCAAATCATGTCATTCCACCCTTGGCCTCTCCAAAATTTCATGTCCACATTTCAAAACACAATCATGCCTTTATAACAGTCCCCCAAGGCCTTCACTCATTCCAGCATTAACTCAAAAATCCAAGTCCAAAGTCTCATCTGAGACAAGTCAAGTGCCTTCCTTCTATGAGTCTGTAAAATCAAAGCAAAGTGGTTACTTCCTAGATACAATGGAAGCACAGGCATTGAGTAAATACACCCTTCCAAATGAGAGAAGTTGACTAAAACAAAGGGGCTAAAGGCCCCATGCAAGTTCTAAATTTAATAGGGCAGTCATTAAAACTTAAAGTTCCAAAATGATCTCCTTTGATTCTATGTCTCATATCCAGGTCATGCTGCTGCAAGAGGTGGGATCTCATGGCCTTGGGCAGCTGTGCTCCTGTGTCTTTGCAGGGTAGAGCTCCCCTCCTGGCTTCTTTCATGGGCTAGTGTTGAGTTTCTGGGCTTTTCCAGGTGCATGGTGCAAGCTGTCAGTGAGTCTATCACCCTGGGTCCTGGAGGATGGTGGCCCTCTTCTCTTAGCTCCACTAGCAGGGCCCCGGTGGGGACTTTGTGTGGGATCCCCAACACCACATTTCCCTTCCACAGTATCCTAGCAGAGGTTCTCCATGAGGGCTCCACCCCTATGGCAAACTTTCGCCTGTACATCCAGCATTTCCATACATCCTCTGAAATCTAGGCATAGGTTCCCAAACATCAATTCTTGACTTCTGTGCACCTGCTGGCTCAACACTATGTAGAAGTCCAGGCTCAACATGTAGAAGCTGCCAAGGTTTGAGGCTTGCACCTCTGAAGTCACAGCCCGATCTGATATCTTGGCCTGTTTTAGCAATGGCTAGAGGGCTGGGATGCAGGGCACCAAGTCCTTAGGCTGCACACATCAGAGGGCCCTGTGCTCAGCCCAGGAAACCATTTTTTCCTCCTAGGCCTCTGGGCTTGTGATGGGAGGGCCTGCTGTGAAGATCTCTGACATACCTTAGAAACATTTTCCCCATTGTCTTGGCAATTAACATTTGGGTCCTCATTTCTTATGCAAATTTCTTCAACCAGCTTTCATCTCTTTCCAGAAAATAGGTTTTTCTCTTTGACCACATCTTCAGGCCACAAATTTTCCAAACTTTTAAGCTCTGTCGCCTCTTGAATGCTTTGCTCTTTAGAAATTTCTTCTGCCAGATAATCATCTCTCAAGTTCAAAGTTCCACAGATCTCTAAGGCAAGGGCAAAATGCAACGAATCACTTTGCTAAAGCATAGCAAGAGTCACCTTTGCTCCAGTTCCCAACAAGTTCCTCATCTCCATCTGACACCACCTCAGCCTATATTTTATTGTCCATGTAATTATCAGCATTTTGGTCAAAACCATTCAACAAGTCTCTAGGAAGTTCCAAACTTTTTCATATTTTCTTATCTTCTTCTGGGCCCTCCAAACTGTTCCAGCCTCTGCCTGTTACCTAGTTCTAAAGTCACTCTGCATTTTTGCTTGTTTTTACAGTAGTGCTCCACTCCTGGTACAAGTTTACTGTGTTAGTCCATTCTCACACTGCTAATAAAGACACACTTGAAACTGGGTATTTTATAAGGGAAAGAGATTCAATGGGCTTACAGTTCCACAGGGCTGGGGAGGCCTCAGGAAACTTACAAAAGAGGGAAAAGCTCCTTATAAAATCATCAGATCTAGTGAGAACTTATTACCTTCCACTGGGTCCCTCCAGTGACATGTGGAGATTATGGGAATTACAATTCAAGTTGAGATTTGGGTGGGGCCACAGCCAAACCATATCAGAATGCTTCTGCCACAACACTTCCTCTTTATTCTGTGGTTAACAATTTTGAGTTAAAACTAGATTGCTGCTTTGAGAAATGAACCCTGTCTACAGAGAGGGCATTCTGTTCATGTCTGAGAGAAAATGTTTCATTCAATTGAAATATTCTCATCCTCAAAATGTGATAACAGTGCACCCAAAAGCCACCGGAAGATAGATTATGAGAAAGACCCATTAATGCTGACCTTGAAGTACCAGAGTGCAGAAAGAGGGGAAGGAGCACCTATTCTGTGTAGATGAGGGTCAGGTACATTTTCAAAGCCAGACAATCTGGATCAATCGAGAAAGAGGGAAAGTGACACATTTGCAAATTTGGATTGATATTATATAAATGAACTCTTGATTATCCACATGGTGACCTACAGCAATAACAAATGTACACACACCCTAAGTTACATAGGCATGCCTTTAACCATACCCACACGTGCTGGGGAATGTTAGATAGGCAGGGGGAATGCAAGGTGAGTGAGATTTCTGATGATGCAGAGGAAGAATGCCAAATTGCTAGGTTTCTTGTTTTCCACTGAGACTCCTCAGCTGGGTATGTTTTGAGGTAGGTATGAAAACACTGTGACTTCTGTGGCTTTCCTTGTGAAGAAGTTAAAACGTGTAATATTTGCTTTTAAAAGATGACACGTTTATCAGTCTTCTAGCCACGATTGTTTAAATTCTGATGCCTTCCTGTTGGGGAGAAACTGTCAGAAGTTGTGCTTTCATCTATGTTCTGAAAGTGCCTTATCCCTTCTAGTGTTGAAAAGGTTGATGCAAAAATAAAAGAACCCACAAGAAAGTGACACCAAGATTTCTCAGGACTTTCTTACTAACTTTGCTTCTTCACCTAATACATTAGGAGACAAAAAGTTACCTTTGTCATTTTGGTTTTTGTTTTTATTTCTTTTTACTTTGCTAATCTTTTGAAGAGTCTTCTTGTACTTCACGTCCCCACATTACCGCAGTTGAAGGGGAACCTTTCTATCTGAAATATTGCTCGTCTTCACATGCACATGCGATTGAAGCAAACACCGGAAGATGGCAAAAAAGCAGTGGATCACAGAAACGTGTGGAGCTGAACCCAAGCAGTTCACCAAGAATTGGTTTGCAAGATCATGCTTTGGAGTTTTGGCCTGTTGAGTTGAATGACATGGGATCTTACTTTTTCCAAATGGGGTGAGTAACGGTTTCTTTTTAGAGTGTATTTTATAGCCCTCTTGTCCTTTGTTCAGCAACTCAAATATGCAGTAATCTGAAAGGTCAAATAATCAGCACACCTTTTTCTTTCCTACTCTTCCTACGACATGAAATACATTCTTTGTTATGGAACAAAATAAATTTTTCTCTCTCTGTTTATTTTCTTAATGACCTTAGTAAAAGGAGGTTACCTTAATAGGATTTCCTTTTAGGGGATCCTTGTCAATAAGAAGTCGCAATTGCGTGAAAGTCAGTTTTAAAATTCAGCTGCTCCTATTGTCTGGATGCCCCCAGTCAAATGAAATCAGTGGCTCAGACTTCACAGTAATATTAATGTATTGTGAAGGGGACAGTGTCAGCTTCCTGGGTGGCATCCTTGGTGGGGAGCAGAGATGGAGTTGAGGCGGACACACATGAGTCCAGTCTGCAGGGGTTCAATGGGAGCCAGGAGGCAGTGCTAGTGGAGGAAGTGTGTGTCTGGCAGCCAATCACAACCCACAGCTGGGAGCAGTGAGAGAGGGCAACACAGAAATGCTTTGAAGTTTACTCATGAGGTGTCCCTAGATTTTGCCAGGATACTCATAATTTAGTTGCGTAACTTCCATGAAGTGAGTGCAGCCAACTGAAAACATCACCCACACTTACTGAACGCATTTCTCTTTAGATGTACCTACCTACATATGTAGGTATTGCTATAGAGACTTGAAACTGACCTGCAGGAAATAGCTCAGGGCCAGCTGAAGGGTGATGGTGTGCAGATTTCATATGCAGCAGATTTCTTTTAGAAGCACTTGTAGATTGAGTCTTGATCATTATCAACCATGCTGTTGAGAGCAGAGTGAGCTATCACTATGAAACCTTGGTAGCAGTCCTGTGGTTTTGCACAAAATGAGGTCATTTTTGTTTGTTTTTATACATAGGAACTCTGAGGCATTAGAAAAAATTAAATAGTTCTTTTGATAAACACCAATACATCTTCAGGTGACCTTTGAAAAGCAATAATTACAGAAGTGGGTCACAACTGGGATTTTTCACAACTCTAAGGAAGAATGAATACTCACAAATGGGGTAAAGGAAAAAGAACAACAAACACATCTGCCCCCGCTTTTGACTCCTGATTGAATGAAATTTATTTAAAGGAATAAAGTATTCTGGACAGGGCATAGAGAGCACATTGAAAGGAACAGCCAGGCATCTATGATCATCACTTGGAAATAACAGAAGCATATGGTATTGGTCATCTTTCTGTCATGGGGAGCAGAGAATACAGCCTGACTTAGGAAACAACAATGGAAGCAAAAGATTGAGGTAGGATTTCAGAGAGGTGTGGAGAGACAGGGTAGCAGACAGGAGACGCTGAGAAAAATGAGGCGTCCCAGAGTGGATATTGGAGACTGATACTGTGAGAGTGAAGTGATGAGGAGAGAAGCAGCTTTGACAATGGCTTTGATGATTAATGGGATTCTACATGGAAGCAGGTTGTTTTAGACACCTAGGAGCATAGAAGATACAGACATCTTCAAGTATCGTGCAATTGGTAAGCAGCATTTACTGCAGATGTGTGTGTGTGTGTGTGTGTGTGCGTGCACACGCCCGTACACACACGTGTGTGTTGTGCAATTGGTAAGCAGTATTTACTGCAGATGTGTGTGTGTGTGTGCGCATACGTACACGTGTGTTCTAACGTAGGTGTGTAAGCCTTTGTAGTTTGATGTGGAATCTATCACTGAACAGACTTTACACCTGAAATTTTCCCATTAGAACAGTAATTAAATTCTTAGGAGTCCATTGCTAATAATCAAATGCCACTGAAGACTGATAATTCAGTCCTGCAGTGAAAATCACTTTGTCTCACCAAATTTTAAGAAAAAAAACAACTAAGAAGGAAGGGGATATAGGAGTTTTCAATGATAGAGGTGAAGAAATGAAGGTGTAGAGAAATGCACACACAGAAATGTAATAATCAGATCCTAGGCTGACAGGCAGCAAGTTCAGCTTGGTGAGCAGCCTCAGAAGAGGGGCTGGTGCTTATCCCCTGGTGTATGTGGACAAAAATGAGTGGCTTTCATAACCAGGATGGACTGGGCCTGTGGCAGGAAAGTGTGTTCATGGATTTGGGCCAGGTGGCCTCGGTGTTCACCAGCCTTGGAGCTCCTGGATGGCAGGAGCAGTGTGATGTTGCTTGTTTCAGCATTCCCATTGCAGTGTCCTGCAAATGGAGTGTAATCAGTCCGCTAGCATTTGTTGAGCATTAGGAATGGAGGATTACAGAGATAGAGAACAATGCAATCTGCCAAGATGGGAATATTCATGTACTCTATTCCTTTTAAGCAACAGGTCAGAGAGATCCAGAAATCTCTATCTCTCCAGTTCATCGAGGCCAAAGTTGGGGAGACTTTACAAAAATACACTGGAGAAGAAGACTCTGCCAATGGGATTCTGAATCCAGTTCAAGGGCCAGATAGCTCTATCATGTCCCATGGCCACTGACCCACTGCCTCTAACCATGGCAACAGTCTGCCACCTTCTCCAGTCATGGCCAATCTTTCATAAAGTCATGCCCAAGGTGAAGGGGCCAGATTCATTGGATTGTGAAAGTGATTAGAATTGTGCAAAGCACTTCTGGCCTTTGGGGCCAAATAGATGTGCATTTGCACCCTGGCCCCATCTTGTAGCAAGTGTGTGCCCTGAGCAAGTTGTTTAACCTCTCTGAGATTTAGCATTCTCATTGGAGCCTAAGTAAAATAGTCAGCTCCCTTGCACTTACATAGTCTAACACTTGGAACTCAGTAAGTGCTAGTCTTGTTTTCCTTCTATCCTATTGAAGACCTAAAGGGGAACTGGAAGAGCCTAAAGTGAGCACAAATGTGTCGGGCATATAGCATAACTTAATAACACCTGTCTGCTGTGTTTAGTAAATGAATCTACACATCCCAGGTACAGGGTAAGCTAACATCAAATTGGAAACACTTTCTTTTTAAGAACTTCATTTAAAAAATGCTGTATCTTTCTCCATTTCTTTCTTTCTTTCTCTTTCTTTCTTTCTTTCTTTCTTTCTTTCTTTCTTTCTTTCTTTCTTTCTTTCTCTCTCTCTCTCTCTCTCTCCTTCCTTCCTTCCTTCCTTCCTTCCTTCCTTCCTTCCTTCCTTCCTTCTTTCTCTCTCTCTCTCTCTCTCTCTCTTTCTTTATTTCGTCTTTCTTTCTTTCTCTCTTTTGACAGAGTTTTGCTCTTGTTGCCCAGGCTGGAGTGCAATAGCACAATCTCGGCTCACTGCCACCTCTGCCTCCTGCCTCAGCCTCCCAAGTAGCTGGGATTACAGACACCCACCACCACACCCCGCCAAGTTTTGTATTTTAGTAGAGATGGGGGTTTTACCACATTGGTCAGGCTGGTCTCAAACTCCTGACCTCAGGTGACCTACCTGTCTCAGCCTCACAAAGTGCTGGGATTACAGGGGTGAGCCACTGCACCCGGCCTAGTGATAGTCCTGATCACTAATTTCTGATCAGGAGGAAAAACAACTATAAAATCTACTCATACTCACTTTTGGTCAGTAAGGCATTTAAAGAGCTAATTCAATTACACTGAGGGCAGCAACTCCAGACTTTGGTTTATTCAACAGTAAGAGAAGGGGATTGGAACAAATTGCCATGAGAAACATGAAACCTAATGCATATACACACACATTTAGAAAACAACATCAGGAGTTTATAGACCTGGTGAAACCAAAGCCACCCTCTCATCCTGGACTAAGACTCTCTAAACTTTCTCACTCATAGGCAGGTGTTGAACGATGAGAGCACATGGACAAAGGGAGGGGAGCACTACACACTGGGGTCAGTTGGGGGGAAATAGGGGAGGGATGGTGGGGGGTGGGGAGCTGGGGGGGGATAGCAGGGGGAGAAATGCCAGATGTAGGTGATGGGGAGGAAGGCAGCAAATCACACTGTCATGTGTGTTCCTATGCAACAATTTTGCATGTTCTTCACATGTACCCCAAAACCTAAAATACAATAAAATAAATAAATGGGAAAAAAAAAAGACTCTCTAAACTTATCCATCACCAAAGATCATTGACATTGTAAACATCTCCTGTTCTGACATCCATAATATATTGCCTGCAGTAGGATATGTACGTGTGTGTGTGTGTGTTTGCCTGCATGTGTGTGTTTCTCTGTGTGTGTAGACTGCTAAGGTTTTCATTTTTTACCTCCTGCTCCCATGACAGTTGTTAAATTTCTTGCTCCTCTGAACCAAAAGGAGGCAGAGCAGGGTTTGCATATCAATGAATCGATCTCTTTAAAAAAATAAAGGAAAAATATAGCATTGGTTACTAAAGGGAAGAGGGTGATATTTGCAAAGTTTCTGTAGTATTATAAAATACCTTTACACCTTTATTCCGTAGAAATCATACTCAGGAATGGAACTTAAATGTCATCAGAAGAAATAAACACAGCTGTTTCACTGAGAAACAAGTAACTAGTAAAGCTGTGAGAGTTAAAAAATTTTTGCAGATAACCTGTGAAAACAGTTACTATCAAAAACTGGTCAACAGCACATCATTGTATAAGGTAATGCTTTTTACAATATTTTAACTTTAAGACTTGGAAAAGATAAAATTCCCAAATCAGGGGCTGAGGGCTATCATTTTGGTCTCATAACAAAGAAGCTGCCTGACCCCACATGGCCCACTGGCCCTGTTTGAGCCCAGTTCCTCACTGGCTTGTTGCCAAGAGCTGATACATAGTATTGACATGTGTTCCACAGTAGTTTCCCTGGATTTGGTGTTCAATAAATGATCACAACTTCCTCTCCCACACCCTTCCTGCATTTTCCTTCTCTTTCAATAAATTAATTTTTAGCAATGCTAGTTTAAAGATTTCCATTTCTCCTGTCACACATACTTACTATTTAAAACTTGATTGTATATGTTTTTCTGAATATATTAGTTTATTTTATAAAATTAGAAGATGGAAAACTGAAAAATGAAGAAAGCAAAAATCACTCATCATTTCATCAGTTAGAGACTTTGTGGTTTTTTTCTGTGTAGTATCTGGTTTTTAAAAGTGGTCTATTTCATTTTATTGCTTTTTTCTTCTAAAAATCATGTTGTGACTATCCCTTCATATCTTTAAACAATCTTCTAAGCATGGGCTTTCATTTTGCATGTGCCTGGTCTCATCTTACTAATCGCATTGATACTGGACATTTGTGAATTTCCTATTTTTCACTATTATTTAAAGGTGAAAATGATTACCATTTCCACAAATCCTTGGGTGTTTATGTAATTTGTCCTTCAACCAAATCCCTAAATGTAGAATTATTGGATCAAAGGCTGTGAGCATGTTTATATGGCTCTTTCTCCACACAATCAAATTCATCTCCAGGGATTTATGCCAATTTTACCCGCCCTTGATAAAAGAATTCCAATTTTCTGTCACCTCCACAGCACTGGGAAATAATAATCCTAGAATGTTTAAAATTTGATATGAAAAATTTCTAAAACTCCTAGTGGTTTTTTACTTTTCTTAGTAATAAATTAAACTTTTGTATATATTGATTGGATCTTAACCACAATAAGGCAATTTTGTGGATTGTCTGTTTATTTTCTCTGTTTTCTTCAGTTGAATTTTAAAAGCTCTTATACACCATTGAATATTGTACAGCCATAAAAAATGATGAGTTCATGTCCTTTGCAGGGACATGGAGGAAGCTGGAAATCATCATTCTCAGCAAACTCACACAGGAACAGAAAACCAAACACAACATGTTCTCACTCATAACTGGGAGTTGAACAATGAGAACACATGGACACAGGGAGGGGAACATCACACTCCGGGGGAATAGGGGAAGGATAGTATTAGGAGAAATACCTAATGTAGATAATGGGTTGATGGCACATGTATACCTATGTAACAAACCTGCACGTTCTGCACATGTATTCCAGAACTTAAAGTAAATAAAAAATAAAACCTCTTTTAGACCATGCTATAGAAATTATATATACACACACATATATATAGTGTGTGTATAGAGTGTGTATATGCATAAAAAACATGCACATTCCTATCCATGCACACACACAACATGAATTGTGTAGTTCAGGGATCCCCAATCCCCGGGCCACCCCCCGTCACTCACATTACCAGATCAGATCAGCAGTGGCATTAGACTCTCATAGGAGCACAAACCCTATTGTGAACCAGGCATGAGAGGAATCTAGGTTTCACACTCCTTATGAGAATCTAATGCCTGATGATCTGTCACTGTCTCCCTTCACCCCCAGATAGGACCATCTAGTTGCAGGAAAACAAGCTCAGGGCTCCACTGATTCCACATTATGGTGAGTTATATAATTACTTCATTATATATTACAATATAATAATAATAGAAATAAAGTGCACAATAAAAGTAATACACTTGCATCATCCCCAAACCAAACATATCCCTTCAACTCCCCCCACCCTCGTCCATGGAAAAATTGTCATCCACGAAACCGGTCTCTGTGTCAAGACTGTTGGGGACAGCTGATGTAGTTTATATTGAATAACAAATATGAATAATGTGCTTCTGTCATGGAAACTTTAAAGAGCTGTAAGAGAGAGCGGTCTGAACAGAACTTGGGAAAACTGAAACAAGTGATGATGATTTCCCTGAAACCTTTGTTTGTATCTTATGCTTGAGCACTGTTTACTTGTGGTTTTCAAAAACAGCTCTTTTCTGAAATGTTTTCTAAACATTCGAGTCAGTTCTGAGTTGACTTGACTGAATTTCCCATCAATGTACAAATGTATTACAGTACACTTAAATTGGTGAGGCTTGGTGTGCCAAGTTTTAAGAAATTCCAAAATACAGATATTTAAATTAAGAACATTGGCGCATCAAGGATGTTTAGCTAAACAATTGACCACAGGGCTAAGTATTCTAAACCTGTTGACTGACCATGACTTCACCTGAGAGCAAGGAGGGTAAATCAGTAAACTGCTGACTGGAAAAGAAAATGAAGAGTCTCTGATCTTTTCCACAGGTTGGAAAAATTAGTTTGGTTTTATAAAACTTTGACTTACACATAAATAATTTACTGATGTGAGGTACACATGTGGGTGCTTCTTGGACACATTCTATGCACAATGGGTCTAGCCCCAGTGGCTGCCAGCTCTGAGGAAAAAGTCTGTGGGCGGTAGGTTCTCTTTGCCTGGTGTCTGCAGAAACAGTGTCCATTGGTCAAGAATGGCCATTCAGCCCTCAGCCTTCCCATGTGGTCCTTGGATGGCTCTGGGACCTACCTCTGGATATGAGATGTGCTGAATTGAAGAAAGTGATTTTATTTATTACAATTAGTATTAATTCCTGTGACATGTATGGAAATGTGTGTGTGTGAGATAGAGATGTTTGAGTGTACCTATGGATTTGAATATTGTTGATGCATTTCTAATCAGCTTGCTGGCTTCTGGTGGAGGGTGTTAAGGGCATGGGTGGTCTGCTAGCTACTTAGTCCTCTGAGTAATTCTCCTCCCACCCCACTACCCACCCCTGGGATGCATAGTCTGGAATACACAAAATTTGGACTGAACATGTGGGAAACAGAGATGTCACTCAAGCAAGGATTTTTGTTGTAATGTTTTCTCTGTCTCTGTCTCTCTGTTTGTATCTCTGTGCACGCATGTAAAGGAGAGGTGAAAGGAAATTGATGAAAGCAGCTACAATGTTTCTATTTCCCCATGCTGTACTTCTCAGTATCTATTAATAAAGACAATCATAACAACAGCAATGGGACTGTTTTTAATTGTTTCAGTAAAAGTAGTATCAAGTAATGGATATATACACAGAATTGCTACTTTCCATTCTTTTTTCCTTTTTCTCTAAAGATATTTAACTCAAAAATTTGGATAATTGTAATATGAATTCGGCCTTTACTTAAAGTATTTTAACTTGCTTTCTTAAAAACAGAACTGTAAAAAGCTACTGGAGAACAAGGAAAACCCAATGATAAAGAAGAATGCTGAGTTTGAAGATCAGGGATATTACTCCTGCGTGCATTTCCTTCATCACGATGGAAAACTATTTAACATCACCAAAACCTTCAATATTACAGTATTGGGAGGTAAGGGAAATCTTAGAATTGGGAAGAAGCAGATGTATTTTAGTAAAATGGAATTTTTTTCATTCTTCAAAACTGTGTAGGAATTGAGAACCCACTTAGTTGGGGTTGTGACCACATCACTAGTTCAAATATAAGTGTCAAACTCTTCATTTTGGTGGACCTCTACTTGGCTGAAAAACAACCTCTTTTTGGGAAGGAAATGAAAATCTATATGAATAAACTGCACATAAGTCAGCTCTTTTTCATATGATATTTGAGTAAATTCTGGAATCTTTTGTTGTTAAATTTACATTTTCATGCCATGAATATTTATTGAAGACATCTGTAGTCAATAAATGGTACTTAGCACAGCGAGGCAGGGAAGCAAGGAAATATGAGATGAAGTGAGCACTGTACTATTCTCAAGGGATTTGATTATAATCAGGAGAGACAATAAGCTACATGAAGGTGCCACCATATCAAATAGCATCACCTGTGAGGCTGCAAGAGTGCAGGGGGAAGTTGGAGGAAGGACAGATGCTAGAGACTCCATTTGACCTTGGTCTTGGAGGGGGAGCCTCATGAATGGGGGAAGACCTGCTGGGGAAAGGGCTGTCGTCTGAGAGAGTGTAAGGAACACTGATGTGCTGGTGGGAAGGGAGGCATGCTGGACCCAGGCTGTGTGTGATGGAAGAACAGAATCCTGGGACATTAAAGATATTTAATTAAACCTCACCCAGTGAAGATATTCATCATAAAGCACAGCCAATAATTGATCATCCAGTCCCTTCTGGGAAGCTGCCAAGGAAATGTCCAAATCACATAGCAGCATAATCCAGGTTTTAGTATCTGATTGTCAGTCTTTTTTTCTGTTGAGTCCATTTCCCTTCTCGTAGCTTCCAACCACTGATTTTGGTTTGCCTTCAAGAATTTCATAGATTAAGTCTGGCCCCTTCTTAAAATGACAGCTCCTTTGATGATTTGAAGACAATGGTTTATTCAGCCTAGACGTCCCCACCCATCATCCTGAGGAACTGGAAACTGTAACACCTGTGTGGGTGGCTTGTTCAGCAAAATCTGTGGGCTCGCATTTGGCACAGCGTTTGCTTTAGCAGCATCTTTCCTCTTCACTACAACCGTGTAGCGATATACACCCACGTATTACCAGGTTAACAAATTACCCCAAGTTTAGGGTCTTTGCTAAAATCAAGGTTTTGGTAGGATTCGCTGCTTACAGAGGCTCTAGGGGAAAATACATTTCTTTGCCTTTGCCTTTTTCCGCTTCTAGAGACCACCTGCTGTTCTTGGCTTGTGCCACTTCATTTCGGAGTCAAACACATTCGATTCCCTCATCCCATCTCCTTTTTGACTCTGACCTTTCTGTCTCCCTGATGAGGACCTTGAGACTACATTGTGCGCACCGAGATAACTCAGGATGATCTCCCTGTCTCAAGATCTTTAATTTAATCACATCTAGAGGTTCCTTCTGCCATGTAACATACCATATTCACAGGAACTCGGGAGTAGGATGTGGGAAACTTTGGGGTCTATTATTCTGCCTGCCACAGCCCAGAGCCTAGGAAACCCAAAACTGAATTTTTAAACTCAAAAACTTAAATTCTATGTATAATCATCTACCTTGGGCTGGGCCGGTGGCTCATGCCTGTAATCTCAGCACTTTGGAAGGCTGAGGCAGGTGGATCACAAGGTCAGGAGTTCAAGACCAGCCTGGCCAACATGGTGAAACCCTGTCTCTACTAAAAATACAAAAATTAGCCAGGCATGGTGGCAGGTGCCTGTAATCTCGCCTACTCAGGAGGCTGAGGCAGAGAATTGCTAAAACCCAGGAGGCAGAGGTTTCAGTGAACCAAGATCACGCCACTGCATTCCAGCCTGGGTGACAGAGTGAGATTGAATCTAAAAAAAGAAAAAAAAAAATTATCTACCCCAAAATCTCCAATTTTACTTTCTTACATGTATTTTTATTCTTATATAAATCTCTGTTCCTTTGATTCTTTCAGAACCTACATCCTCTCTCCCACCATCTTTGCTTTCCACCCATCAGCAACCCTTTCCTTCCTTCTTTGACGAAGCCATAAGAGTATCTGTTATTAAAAGGGTACTTGCTATGGGCCAGGGACTGTGCCAAGTACTTGAGTTGAATCATCTCATATCATCCTCACAACAGTTCTGTGAGGCTGTGGCCTTGGGTGAGTTAATTTCCTTAGTTCCTCTCTGTCTCAGCTTCCTCATGATGAAATGGGACAGTAGTGGTTCATCCCTTGTAGGGCTGGTTGACGATGATTGAGTGAGTGATTGTGTGTACAGCTCTAGGGTGGCTCTAGGGACAGGAAGAGCTCTGCTGTAATGACCATATCCCATACCTCACCTGCAGCACAATGTATTCTTCTCCCATAATTGTCCATCTTATTTTTCTTGTCTCCTTGGAGAATGTCAACTGAGTCTCTCAGGACTCCACTCAAATGTCCCTCCTCCTTCGTGCCCCCATGACCTCTTGTTTGTATTTCCGATTGCTGTCAGAGTTGCATTACATGTGTGTCTCAGTCAATAACTTGAAAAGTGTCTGAAAACGTTTGCACTGAGTTCTGTTCCTCATCTTTGCATCTTGAATACCTACGACTGGCACTTGGCATAGAATAGGTGCTCATTACATGTCTGTTGTGTGCATTATTGAGAGAGCAACAACTCCTTCAATGCTACATACAGCAAAATGTCTAGACACTTCACCATCCTAGCTATGTTTTTGGATTTGGTAAAGTTGCCATCAGTTTATAGAAATTAGAGCTTGTCGTTGGAGAGGACTGTCAGGAGGTGTTCTGGCCTGTGTTGAGGACAGTGGGGCTCTGAGCTCCTGCCTTCTCCAAGTTGTGTCTTTATTACGGCACACTTGCCATCACAGATGAAGATCTCTTACCTGCCACATGGTGACCGCTGTAGTGGTGTAAAGGTGTGATACCTCTCCTCCCCGTCATAAGGGTCATGACAATGCTCCCATAAAAAAGACAGATTAACAAGAAGCAAGCAAAACGAATTTATTTAATCAAAATTTTCTGTGACATGGAAGCCTTCAGAAATGAAGACCCCAGGGCTGGGTGCTGTGGTTCATGCCTGTAATCCTAGCACTTTGGGAGGCTGAGGTGGGCAGATCACCTGAAGCCAGGAGTTTGAGGCTAGCCTGGCCAACATGATGAAAACCCATCTCTACTAAAAATATAAAAATTAGCTTGCTGTGGTGACAGAACCTATAATCCCAGCCTCTTGGGAGGCTGAGGCAGGGAGAATTGCTTGAATCCAGGGGGCGGAGGTTGTAGTGAGTGGACAGTGTGCCAGCCTGGGTGACAGAGTGGGACTCAATCAGAAAAAAAGAAAAGAAAAGAAAGGAAGGAAGGAAGCAAGGAAGGGAGGAAGGGAAGGAAGGAAGGAAGGGAGGGAGAGAGGGAAGGAGAGAGAGGGAGGAAGGAAGGAAAGAAGGAAGGAAGGAAGGAAGGAAGGAAGGAAGGAAGGAAGGCAGGCAGGCCGGCCCCAAGACTCAGGGAAAACTGTTTTTTCTTTTTAAGTCCTTAGGCTCTAGAAGCATGGACAGCCATGTAGAAATGTGATTGGACAAAAGGATATGACCTAATGCTAATAGACTCAGTGGGGAAACCCACCAAGACCTGTCTGCTAAGATTCTTCTTGGCCTCTCTGTTACCTTTCTTTTTCCTGGGTAATAGACTGAGTGGCAAAACCCAGCAAGACCTGTCTGCTCAGATTCTTCTTGGCCTCTCTGTTATATTTCTTTTTCCTGGATAGAGGGCAGAGGGTATTAAGACCTACTGTCAGACCGAAGAAGGTCAAAGAATTTTTAGCCAGCTCCTGGACAGAAAGGCAGAAGGTTAGGGTCATGCTTCTAGGTTCTATGGCTTATTTTGGGGAAAAGGATTCTGGTTTTTATGATCTGCTTTTGGGAAGAAGTCTGGTTTCTATAACTTGCTTTGGGGAGAATGGGGGCATGAAGCAGGAGGGCAGGAGAAGGTCACAGGGATCTTGATTTTGAGGTTGCTTTGAGGCCTTCCAATGTCCTTTAGTTTAAAGTAGTCAACCTGCCAAAATGCCATACTTTGGTCACTGTTTTTCGAACCCAGAAGTACCATTGCCTTCAGCTCATGTTCGTGAATCACAGTCACCCGAATTTCCACTGGGTATCTGCCACTTTCCTGGTCTCATGCTCTGGCTCATCTGGTGGTGTCTCCTCCTACTGCTGACGACCTCTGTGCCGTTTTGATTCTGATGCTAGCCTCCTAAGTAGACTGGTCACGTCAAGGGGATGCACTAAGGTGCTGTCTTCCTTTTGTGACCTACATGGGACTGCATTCTTCACTTTACACCAGTTGTGCAAACTCAGGGCTGATCTGGATTTCCTATGATCTAATTTGAGTGTTAGTAGATAGCACCCTTTGTTTAAGATGTTCTTCACACTTCCCCTTCTCAAATCTTCCGTGCAAGTTTCAGGGGCAAAAATTGATCCAGAGAAAGGTAGTCAGTAGCAGTTTTCCCCTTCATATGGAAATTGCCTCCTGCTTCTTTGTCTTTGAATTCAAGCCCATGTTGCTTCGTGCTGCCAGACCTGAGAGTTAGTTCTTTCCCTAGATACATCTCAGCTCCTCTTGCCTGTCTGCCAGAATTTCGGGCTTGCCCAGAGACTCTGAATCCTGGGGAACCCACTCTTGACTCCCAACCCCAGGGTCTACTGTACTGATTTCATTCTCCTGTTCTTGCTCACATATCTGCCCACTGCATTCTCCACTGCTCACTCTGTGGCACTGCACTTTATGAGAGGGCTCAGGGAGGTGTGAAAGCTGCAGGAAAGCTTTTGAGTCCCACTATACTCCACTTGACCAAGCATTCTGCTTGCTGAGCACCCGCAAGTCCCAGAAGGGCTGCTCTGGATGTTGCTTGAAAATGCCTGTAAAGCACCGTGGTTTCTAAAAGGGAACAGTCCTGGTCATGAGGAATGTTACTAATACAGATATTAGGGTCAACAATAACTTCACTATGTACCAGTATAAATTTATGACCACAGCTGCTCTTAGGGTTTGGAGTTGTCAGCTGCCTTAGGCAAGAGCCTGCTGAGTGATGATTTACTTCCCAAGCATCGCCAGATGGCGACTGAGAAGACAAGATTTATGTGCAGTCCTTCCAGTCGAGGTCAGAAGCCACTCAGGAGCAAAAGTAGAACTTGTCCTATAAGCATGGACTTAACCAACAGGGCCAGGGCTGACGTGAGGCCCCTGGGGCACAATATGGAAGGGACACTGCTCTTAGCATCTGCCAGGGAACAGTGGCCACCTAGAGGGATTTGCTTTTTTCATCCTGTCTTGGCCCCTCTCCCTGTAAATCCATCACAGGCCAGCTGAGGAGGACAGATGGAGGGAATCACGACAGAGCAGAAAGGCTCTTCCCAGTGATTTTGCATGGTCCAAGTCCTGCATGTTTGATCGTCTGGGAGTCAGGCAGCAGTGGAGGAGCATCTTCCTCTGCCTTTTACTTAAAGTGAGCAGAAGCTGCAGATTTGAGTAAGAGGAAACCAGGTACAAGGTGCTTTAAGCATTTCTGTGAGCAGGGAGTTGATGGAAAATGAAGCAACAAACGATATATCTGCAACCTTTAGTTAATGCAAATAGGACTCAAGTGAACGCAAACTGCTGACTACTGGAACCCTTGTTACATGAAATGAGCACGTTCTAATAGATGCTTGTCTTAGAGAAGCTCAAGGCAACACTAATATATTTGTCTTTTCTTTTGTCACTTCTAGATAGCGGTTATATAGTTCCGGTTCTTCTTGGATCAAAGCTTAACCATGTTGCAGTGGAATTAGGTATACTCCAACAGATGTATATTCTGTATTTATGAGTAGGGGACATAATACAGTCTTCCAAGGGTAAATATGATTCATTATTGAATGACACCAGATACTCATTTCATATTTAGTGAATAACATTACAAAACTAGAAAAAGGGTGGCATTTTTTGAATGTTGCCACTTTTAACCTGACTTAAAAGAGGCAACATTTTAAAGTTCAAGAGACAGCAAAACTGCCTGTGGTCTATAGACTGTTTTTGCTGTCCTGTGTGTGGCTTTTATTTAACTGTCTCCGTGGTCATTTCTAAATATGAAAATTCAGGCTGGGCATGGTGGCTCACACTTGGAATCCCAGCACTTTGGGAGGCCAGGGTAGGCAGATCACTTGAAGTCAGAAATTTGAGACCAGCCTGGCCAGCATGGCAAAACCCCTTCTCTACTAAATATACAAAAATTAGCCGGGCATGGTGGCACGTGCCTGTAGTCCCTGCTACTCAGGAGACTGAGGCAGGAGAATTGCTTGAACCTAGAAGGTGGTGGTTGTAATGAGCCAAGATCATACCACTGAACTCCAGCCTGGGAGACAGAGCAACACTCTGGATCAAAAAAAAAAAAAAAAAAAAAAAAAAAAAAAAAAAAAAAAATCAATAAGAACATTCTGGAGAGATGACTCAAACTAATTTAGTGGTTGAATGTTTGATTAATTGATTGACTTTGAATCAATTGACTGAATTGACTGTATGTATATTTAGGCTTTGTCTAGCTAGATCTTATGAATGAACATGTCCAATTGAGTAATTTCTTTCAAAAGAGGAGAAAAAGAAGGAAAGGAAGAAATTCACATATACTATACTAAATATGCTAAGCCGGGTATCGTGCTAGGTCATTGAAATATATTATTGAATTAAATCCTCCAAGCAACACTGAGGCATGTATTCTCATTTTATGAATTAAATAACTGAAGTGCAAAAAGGCTAAGTAACGTGTCCAAAGTTGAATCACTGAAAAGTGGCAGTCTCTGTTGATTGCTTTCAGAGACCACACCTTATAACCACAGTTGGAGCCACAGTGATTTATATGACCATATGTGCCCAGTGCAGCTGGTCTCCTATGCCATTTGTATCTGAGGTTTACCTGCTTTATATTTTTATTTATTTCTTTGTCTTTATTATTTTTTCTTCTACTCAGTGGGGCTTAACTTGCACTTTTTGTTCTAGTTTGTACACATGAAGAATTAGATAATTAATTTTAATTTTCCTCTGGTAGTATATGCATTCAAACTCCAAGTTTCCCAGTAAGCACTACTTTAGCTGTTTGTCATATTTTCATACTATTCAGTTTAAACCATTTCTTCAAATTTCCCTTGTAATTTGTTTTTCCACCAAAAAATATTGTTGTTTTAAAATTTCCAAATATTTGGAAAACTTTCTAGTCATTGTCTCTTGTTGATGTCCTCTTTAGTTTCATTATGGTCCAAGATTATACACAGTGTCATTTCAACCTTTTGGAATTTGTAGTGACTTACTTAAGACCTACAATATGGTATAACTTGCTGAATATTCCAAGGGCATTTGAAACAAAGATATAGTCTATAGGTTTTTGTTTTATTATTCTTTAAATGTCAATTTGGTTAAGTTTGTTAATGGTGCTGTTCAAAAAATTTATATACTTACCAATCTCTTATCTGCTTGTTCTATCTGTTGCTGAGAGAGACATGTGAATATCTCCAACTATTAAGGTCAATTTGGCTCTATCTCCTTTTGTTCTGTAAATTTTTGTCTTATATACATTGGAGCTATCTTATATGCATACACAGATTTATGCTTGTTGGATTGACACTTTTATCATTATGAAATATCTCTCTATCTATCATAATATTTCCTTTCTCAATGCATTGCTCTGTCATATGAAATAGCCACTAGTTTTTTTTTTTTTTTTTTTTTTTTTTCTTGGAATTGTCATATTTTTTTTTTTTTTTTTTTTTTTACTACTAACTTTTTTTTGTTCTATACATAAGTGTCTCTCATAAACTGCATGTATTTGGATCTTTCTTGAAATCTGGTTAGCATGATGTTTAGTCCATCTGTATATTTAAAATTACTGTTATAGTTGGTATATCATATACCCATGATATAAAAATATTCATTTTATTCTTTTTAAAATAAATTACACTTTGCTGAAAATGACCATATTTCCATCCACTTGTTCATCTTTTTCTCTATTTTCTTTCAAACAGTTATTTATAGTTTTTAATCTGCTAAATTCTGCATCTGTAGGTCTGCATCTATTATCTATCTTTTCTATTGATTATCATGCATATTTTCTGTCTCTTTGTGTGTCTCTTAACTTTTTATTGTTGATCTTTGTGTATCAAACAATTAAAGTGAATACAGTTTGTGTTATTTTTTCTTACAAGTAGGTAGTATGAGAGTTTGAGTATCTCAGTTGACTCAGAACTGAACTGGGGTGGCTGGGATGTAGGTATGTTAGATCCAATCTGCCTTCATCTCTGATAGCTGTGGGGAGAGGGGTTGCTGCAGTCATGTGTTTGTTGCAGCCATTTTCTCTGATAGGACTTGCTCTCCCAATTACCATGAAACTGCAAGTGATACCATGCAGCCTATACAGCCTATTACACTGCCTGAGCACTTAGCAGTAATTCTGCAAGCCTGTGCAGCACCTGAGAGCTTCACTGGATGTTCTTGTCTCTATGAGACTCTTTCTGTTTATTCCAAACCAAAGCAAATTCCTCCATGAAATGAAATGGCTACCTCTCTTAGCTCACCCTGGAAGGGATCCTTCCCAAGTACATTTTTAGTACAAAAATTTCTCTTTATTTTCTCTGCACTTTGATGTCTTTAATGTTTGTTTAATTTAACTTTTTTTGGATTTGTCAATTTGGTTTATCAAGAAGTCTCAGTGAGAGTATTGTCCTGAGGCTACTACCTACTAAACTGTGTACTGAAAAGAAAATACACTGATCGCCTTAGTCGATTTAAAAAAATGTTCAAAAAGAAGCCAAATCATATTTTAGTGATGGCTTGTAATTGCTACCTAATTCTTCTGCTTTATGTATTCTTTTAATTTAAAACAAGGCATATTTATTCTCTTTCTGGGATGCAGCATCATGATTTGCATTAGGTTAACATACATTGATCATATTGTTTTGAAACTTTTGAGAAACCTGAGTTTCTAAAATCAGAACTTTAGTTGCCAACTTTTACCAGGAAAAGATGTAAGCCTCAACTGCTCTGCTTTGCTGAATCAAAAGGATATACTTTATTGGATGTATGACAATGGATCGGATCTTAATGTACATGAAGAGAAAGAAATAAGAATTATGTATGTATATGTAATATGTATGTCATGATATATACCATATAACAATCATATTATATATAACATCATATTAAAAACACTGGGTGGCTGATGTATATTGGGCTAGTATAAATTATAATTGTAATGTGCATATTTTATAATTATGATGGCCATACCCTAGGTGGTTGGATTATGTAGAAATGTATTGCCAAGATCTAAGCTGGAAAAGAAGGTCCATAAGAAGGCCAGTGAGGGTATTAGCATCATCTTATAAAGTAGCATTTGGTCAGTCAGGATCTGATGGAGGTGGGGATTTTACCTACCTTCTTAGAAAAGGGCAGTTACCTAGCCCATGGTTTATTTCTTTTTTGAAAAATTTGTTACATTGTTTATTTTTCTAATATGCCAGAAAGGTTCCAAATTGTATGCATATTGATACTTAAATAGCCTATATTCTTGCATTAAGGAACGGTCAGACTTATAAAAAGAAACAGTTGAAACATATAGTCACTTATGCTTTTCTGAATGACTTTGGGTCATACTGTAATTATTCATTATTGTATTGATACACGACTCAGCCTAAGTTGTCTAGCACCTTAGCTACACTTGTTGAGTTTTTTTTTCTGCTTTTTACACATTTTTTTAGTACATTCTTTGTTACCATGCTGGCAGCTCTACATTCTTGCTGACACTTGTCTACAATCTCTTTACACCATAAAGTCTGGCTTGTTGCCTAGGAGCAGGCATGTGATTTGTGCCCAATACATGTTGAATTCAGTTGAACTTTGTGGATGCCCTGCCAGCATATCTCATCATCAGCCAGGTAGTTGATGATGAGCACAGTCCCCAAATGGCCTCATGAGGGCTGTTTTTGTCAGTTCTGATGTTCCATAGATGAGGCAGGGTTTATTGTAGTCCATGCTTTAAAAGTACTGACCAGAAAGGGAGGAAATCATGCGGGCAACATTGCAGCTGCCTTCAAGCATTTTAAACGTATGAATTCCCCTCTCATGGGCAAAGAACAAAGCCTACTGCTAAACTATTTTCCTTTCTTACAGGACTTCAGAAGGGAGATGGCATGCTTCAAAAGCCTTGAGAATTGAAAATATTGCTGAACACAATCTAAATTTTGCATATAATTGCACTGTGACCAGCACAGGAGGCACAGACACCAAAAGCTTCATCTTGGTGAGAAAAGGTGAGAAAGACTTATTTTTGGAAGTTCGTGGAAACTTAGCTCATTGCTGCTGAGAGAGCTCTCAAAGGTGATCACATCCTCATTTTCCACGTTAGAACCTAACTCCTGGGAGGGGAAATCAGCCACCTTGTGTCATAGGCATTCAGTGGCAGGGCTGGTGCTCAGCTCTGCGGAGCCCCTCTGTCTCATGACGCCAAGCAGGGATTGAAAACACAAACTCATTCACTTGCTCTCACAGTCATATTCTATCTTATGTGGAAATTGGGGGGCCCGAGCAGGACAGCAGTTGAAGCTTGGGCATGCAGATGCTGAGTGAGGTTCCTGGGGAGGCCATCAGGACAGCCCCTGCACCCAGCACTGCACCCAGAGCAGCCAGAGGGGAGTTTGCAGATCTGTGTGGGATGAGGCCAGCATATGCTCTGTGTGACTGCTGCTCCAGCCAACCTCAGCAGGGAACCAGGCCCAGGGGCTTTGTGCGTGCACATTCATTCAACAAGGATTGACTATGCCCCCATCCTGGGTCAGGTCCTGGACTTGGCAAGCAGACCATTGATAGCCTTGATCTGTGGGCTCTTAAAGTTTTTCAATGCCCAACTGATGGAGGGCCCCAGAGTCGCCATCCCCTTCCTCTACCACAGTAACACAGCCCAGGGCCTTCAGCCCAGTAGCTGCTCAGAAATGGCTGTCACTGGAGCCAGAAAGCTGTGGTTTCCAGCTGTCACTACTCATTCACTGTTCATTCCCAGGCTCCACCATCAACTCCCTGGAAATGTAGGGAAAGGTCAAGATCTGCAAGAGAGAGAGAAAGGGAGAGAGACGGAGACTAACGCCTTCAGAGACAGAGAGCGAGAGGGAAAGACAGACACAGAGAGAGGAGACAGAGATATATGAGACAGAGGGACAAACAGACAACTCTGAAGAGATGAAGACAGAGATAGAGAGAGAGAGAGATGGAGACACAGAGAGACAGAGAAATAAGAGAGACAAGAAGAGACACATCTAGAGGAACAGAGAGAGAGGGAGATAGAAAGACAGAAACACGAAGAGATGCAGAGACAGAGAAATGAGAGTGAAACAGACAGAGTAATGGAGAGAGAGATACACAGCAGACACACACAGACATGCAGAGAGAGCCACACACATAGACTGGGCCTTGGCTTTGTGACAAATGGAAGGAGTGGGACAGGACGAGCACAAAGGCTAGAAACCCCCTCCAGCTGGGCTATCCTGGTGCCTGGGAGCAGCTTCTTAGCACACATGTTTTAGAGCCACATGCACTCATAACAACAGCTCACAACCCATACATGGTCATTACATGACAGGATCTGATGGACCTCCTCCCATGATCTCATCCAGTCTTAACGACAGCTTTATAGAGGTGAAGAAACCTACCCAAGGTCACACGGCAGGTAAAGGTATTGAAACTGAACTGGAATCTGTGTTCTTACCTTCCACAAGGCTTGTCGCAGGTGGTGTTCCACCCCTGTGTGAATGCCTTCACTATGGTCCACTCACTCTTGAGGGAGGGGGGCTCAAATATTGTTTTTGTTGGACCATTGCCTGGGCAGGCTTTCCTGGGGCCTGCTTACCACCAGCCACCTCTCCCCTCTTAGAGCAGGGCAGGAGTGTCCTATTCCTGCCCTAGACACTTCTAACCTGTCAGTTCTCCTGCTGCTGCTCTCACAAATGTAGACTTAGGAATTGGAGCTCACAATCCACCATTACCCCGGGAGGAATTGCTTGCCAATTTGTGTGTGTTTGTCTGCGTAAAAGTGTGACACAGTTATAACTCTGCAGTCCTTTCAAAGATACAGGAGCTCCAGACCCTGGCTCTGTCCAGAGTTCACTTACTAAGCAACATTAACGGCTTACCTGAATCCAAAGTGGAAAGATATGGAAAGATAACTTCTGAACATTGTACCAAGATGGCAAAAGTTTTAAGCACGTTTATACTTATTGACCTAGAGATGCCCCCACCATTACAATGTATTTTAAGAAAAGAATTAGAAATATGGATAAAGGTATATGCATTTTTGTATATGTATATACATATACACATGCATATATGTATATATATACACATGCAAATGTATATGCGTATACATGCATGCATATACATTTATATAAATATACATGTATACATTTATATTATACATATAAAATGTACTGCAACTTTATGTATACTTACTACAAATTCCAATCAATCTAAATTTTAGGATATTATGAATTATAATTTTAATGACCTATGGAAATGCTCATAATATTCAGAAATAATGAGAGATTACCATATGATCTCAATTAAGTAAAAACTTTGAGACAAAAAGAAAACCCAGAAGGAAATATTCTGTCATGTTGACACAGCCTTCACCATATTGTGGATGGTTGTTAAAAATTTCTTTATTGTTTTTATTCATCTGTGTTATCTTATATTGTCCATAATGAGTATAAATGGAATCAGTCTAAAAAATGTAACTTTTTTTCCAAGTGGCACTTTTATACAAAGAACTTGCTAAAATTCCAAGAGCTGTGTGCTATATTAACTACATTTTGTGTAATATTTCATTTAATCTTCCCCAAAGGAGCAGCCTTAGAAGTGAAGCAGGAACTGTTAGAATCTTCATTTTATAGATGAAGGTACTAAGGTTTAGGGGCATCCGCAATTTTTCCTACAATACAAAATAATTGATGGAGCCCGGCTGCAAACCCAGACAAATGTCAATCCAGTACTCTCTCTCTCTTCTCTCAAAACTATTCACCTCTACGTTCGCAACCCACTTGCTAAGATTTTTGTGAATCCCTATGTATTTCAGCTTAGTATCTCTTCACCTGAGAAATCTGATTTACACTGGTACGGATAGAATACATTATTGTATAATGTTTTCACTTCAGGTCTCTAAATATCCTTGTGCACATTTTTTTCTTTAAAAACTTGAGTAGAATTACCACTACTCTAGACTAAAGGCAGGAATGTGGAGTCACTCAGCGGAATGTGTCGGCACTTGGCTAGGCAACTACTGCATTAAAGTTAACAGTAAAAATGTACAAGCATGTGATGATGGGTGACACTGGTAAGATTTCTTGATTATTTTCTTTCCCTTTTTCTCTTTTTTTTTTAGAAGCCATGGCTGATATCCCAGGCCACATCTTTACAAGAGGAATGATCATAGCTGTTTTGGCCTTGGTGGCAGTAGTGTGCCTAGTGACTGTGTGCATCATTTATAGAGTTGACTTGGTTCTATTTTATAGACATTTAATGAGAAGAGATGAAACATTAACAGGTAACACACGTAATTCTGGGATTTCTTATCTTACACTCTCAGTAAGAAATCAAATAAATAGACATAAATCTTAGACATAAATCTATAAATCATATTGCTATGATGTTATAGAACTAATCTGTGGGAGAAGTTTTCTCTGGGAAATATTGCTCTGCCTGTGCCCTCCATAATAAATGTTGTTTGTGTCATCTTTTTTTGTGCTTACTTATGTGTTGCCCCAAATTGTCCTGATTGTCTTGTATAATGTATGTCATAGCCTCCTAAATGCCCTGGGAGATGCTTGAGCCCAGAAACTGTATATCTGAATGTCCCTGTGCACAGATCACCTCGGTACCTTTATAATAGACAATAAAGTTGCTTTAAGTTGGATTGAATTGTCCTATTGCTCATTATTTCAACCTGGCAAAGGAGGCTTACATAATGGACGTGTCAGAACCCCCAGCTGGAAGCCAAATGATTTGGGTTCTGGTCTTCTAGATCTGCCAGTTTTTATCTGCTGCTATGTTGACCCACTAGCTCTATGCCTCAGTTTCTTTATATTTAAAGGTGACTAGAAGTCCTCAGGTTTCCAGATAATTGCTAATCGAAAGGAAGTCAGTCTAATTCATTGCACTTGATTTTGTTTTTGCATGTGTGTATTTGCAGGAAAAAAAAAAACTTCAAAAATGTCTATGAAATTATATAGCAGGAAGTCCCCTTTCCAGCCTGGTCCCACATCTGTGATTCCCACCTTCCCCCTTCATTGTTAATGTAAATATGGATTCTTATTCCACTCCTTCTTTTAAAGAACACAAATCTTGCCTTAATATGCATACTCTTTTTAAAGTTGCTCTCTTATACCTTAGACACACTTGTATGTTACTTTAAAGAAGTCCCTCATTTTTAGGGCTGCGCAGTATTTTATTGGTGTAGAGGTACCACTGTTTATTTAGCCTCCTTTTGATAGGCATTTGGCTTGCTTCCAATCTTTTGTTATTACAAAAATGCTGTCATGGACAGCTTTATTGTTTCATATGTATGCAGCATGTCTCAAGGAAAAATTCCCCAAAGTGGAATACAAGGGGGAGACATGGCTGTTATTTTGATAGATACTGTCAGTTCATCCTGCCTACCGCCTTCAAAGGATGACGGCATTTTTTTTTCTCACAACCTTACCCACAACCATTTGGAGTTGTGCCAGTCTGATAGGTGAAANAAGTGACATTTTAATTTGCATTTCCTTTACTATGCCAGAGTATGAGCAACTTTTAATTTGCATAAGGCTCAGTTGTGTTTCCTTTCTCAACACATCCATTCATATCCTTTCCCTATTGTTCCAGGAGGTGAAGGCTTTAATTTGTATATTTATTTCTAGGGGTTATTTATATTTTAGGGAGTTTAGCCTATTAACTATAATATGAAATGCAAATATTCCCAGGCTGTAAATTGTCTTTTGACTTTGCTTATAGTGGTGTGCCATGTAAAAGATTTTTTGAAAAACATACTCAGATATATCTTTTATGCTTTCTGGATTTGGGCTCATAAGTAAAACAGCCTTCCTAACCTCAAGTTATACAGAAATTACATTAGTTCTTCTGAGATTTTTATAGGTTTAGTTTTCACATTTGGGACTTTAAATTGAACAACATAAAATTAGCATGGTCAGTGAATTTAGCTTTGAGCCTGCATGTACATGCGTGATTTTGCTATGGGGAGAGAGGCCGCAACAAACTGGGAAATCTGTATTTGATCTATTCTGAAAGGTCTGTGTTTGCATAGACCAGTGTTTGTCTTCAAATAGACATTGACTAGGTCCTCTCTTTCTGACTTTCTGGAGCTAAGATTTCTTTTTTTCCTCTCCAGTTGTGTTTGACATAATTTCCAGGTAATTTTTTCAATTCACGCTTCTTAACTGTCAATATGGTAGTGCACAGAGACATTTAGAGACATGCTCTAAATCACTTTCATTAAATTATGGTCCATGAACAAATGCAGTCCATGAAAAGGACAGAAATGAAGACATAAGTCTGAAACTAAAAACTTTTGTAACAATTAGATACTGCTTCAGTATCTAAGAAAGTGTTCAGTATTGGTTTGTGAGGGACTGGAAATGAAACTAATCAATCAACAACAAAAAAGGCAGATTTAAATTAAAACGTGGCCATTTACCATGCACAGTTTGAGAAACTTTAATTTACTCCTAGAAGTCCTAAATATCCATTTGAATTATAATTTCCCTTTGTGTTTGAATATAAAGAATAAAAAAATTACCATTAGCTTTCAAATTCCTTTTCTTTTGAACACTTTATTCTCAAATCCACTAAACTTTTTAGTACCTGGATTTAAAATAAATCATAATATAAATTAGCAGATTTATATTAAAAGAATTGCTTAAAATAAGAAATTTGAAAGCAATTAATAGCTGATTAGCTAATTTTTCATAGGTAAGAGAAAAGCTATATTACAGGTACCATAAACCCACATTTGATGAAATTGTCTTCCCAGTTTTTTTGCAATTTGTTACATCACAAGAAAAATATGCCTTTTAAAAATTGTCCTCCGTGTTAGTGTCTGTTTTGTCACTGACACAGTGACAATCCTAGTGAAAGCACTAGCTCTTACTTAACTAGTAAGTAGTTATATTTCATAGCACTTTAAGAAAAGTATGGAGAGGACCTACTTACTGATTGATAACTGGTTTTATTTTTACCAACATTTTGTACCTTTGATGTTTATGTAAGCCTAAAATTTTTACCAAAATTTTTCATCTTTCAAAACATGCAGTTCTGCAAAGCAATTGCTTTAAATCAACAACAGGGTCTAACCCAAACTGTTGAACAGAATGCTGTAGGTCGAACTGAGGAAGCTTTTACCAGAAGCAGAAAGGGTCATTTGGTGAGCCTAAGTGCTGTGGAGGATGTCGGGCTGGGCTGTTGAGCATAAATGATGTGGCACCATAAGAGATGTAGATATGGAGTGGTTTTATCCTATTAGATTTTAACAGGGGATGCAATCATATGTAGGCTGTAACTCAGTAGCAAATTCATTAATCCCGATAATATACCATGCATAAATCTTACCCCTCTCCGGTCAAAACAATCGTCATAGGATAAAGACAGACCATTGCCCACTGCTTTCCTTCTTTCTCTACAGATCCCAATCAGCATTTTTTAGGACTGACTCAAAATTTCCTCCTTTCAGAAAGCATGTCCATTGGGATCACTCTTTATTCTCTGGCCAGGTTATTTTGTCTGTGAGTTTTGTTAGTTTTGTTTGTTTGTTTGTTTGTTATGCCATTTTTCTTCTGCTAATGTGTTGCCCGTAACTTTTCTCAAGTTGTTGCATGGGTCTGCTTTGCTTTTTCAAATAGATTGGATGAAGCTAAAAGAGAGAGTGGTATCATGTTTTAATTACCCAGTTAGGAGCATGGTCTTTGTTATTTAGGAAAGACATTTCCTACTGAATTTGTTCTGTTAGTCATCTGAGTACTGTTCCATGATCAGAAATTAAATGAGAGGAGATGTTATCATCAGTGAAAATCATCAATGCATCAGAAGTTTTCCTTTTGACATCTATATTCTATAATATTTAAAAATATCACAGCATGTGTTCCTATAGCATATTGTTTCATTCACCTCTAGTTTTTTCCCACATCACAGTGTAAACTGCTCTGCTTCCCTCTTCACCTTCTTGGGGGTCTTTTTGAGTTAAGAGATTGGGATGGTGGTAGAATTAAGTGATACAAGTAAACCAGGGTGAGATTTGCTTTTCACTCCTGGAACGAGGACACATTTGGGCTCTTGGATTTCTAAGGAACAGGAAGATTTAAGTTCCTTTAGTGCCTGGATCTATGGCCCATGTGTTTCTCTATTCCTCTATGGTGTCAAGCAGTGGGATCTTAAAGTAGTTGCTTAAAAACACATTGGCTAATTGCTTGCTTGGTTAGCACGGGAGATTTAAATATAAACAACTTTATATTTAATTTTTCTTTGTTGATGATTCTATACGCATTATCTATGACATTCACTTATATTTTTATTTAAACAAAATTATATTTACACATGAATTAAAAGTGTCAATCTTACCTCCTAGATGGAAAAACGTATGATGCTTTTGTGTCTTACCTAAAAGAATGCCGACCTGAAAATGGAGAGGAGCACACCTTTGCTGTGGAGATTTTGCCCAGAGTGTTGGAGAAACATTTTGGGTATAAGTTATGCATATTTGAAAGGGACGTAGTGCCTGGAGGAGGTAAGAGGGAATGCCAGACAGAAAAATATTCAAGATAGTTCCTTTTTAAAAAGTGAATAAGCTAGCCCTCAGATAGCTATCCCATTTTTCTTAAAAACAAATGAATAAGGTCCTTAAGCCAGAAATAACCAGGTAAGTCAACAATCGATAGTCAGAAAGCAAACTACTCTGCTTCCAGCAGTCTTTTCTCTTGGGCTCTGTTCTTTGTGTTTCATGGTTCTCTGAAAATTTGGGGAAAGGAAGAGGGCATCTCCTTTTCAGAACCAGGCCCAGAGCTGGTGTTATCATGAAGCATTTATCCAGAAACGGCCCACAGTAAGAATGTCTATACTGCAACAGCAGTTCCTAATTTAACACGTGATGTGTGGACTAGTTAATTCTTACTAGTAATTCTTACTACAAATAAACACAGGTTAACTATTACTAGAAAATGCATGATTTTTATTGTGTTGATATTGGTTATGAAATTTAAGTAGAAAATAGGAAAATTAAAAATGGAAAAATAAGAAGGAAGTGGTGATCACCATCAGGTCATAGCTATGAAATTCAATGTTTTTTATGAATATAGGAATACAAATGGCCATAGTGCATATATTAAAGCAAATTACGGTTAAAATTTCTAAAAATGAGTAACATTTTTAGATTTTCTTTGAAGCCTTCCAGAACAAACATTTAAAATCTGGTGTCAGATTATTCTGAATGTTGATGCTTGAAAAAACAAATGTTTTATTGTCACCATCATTCATTTATTAATCTAATATTAATCGGAAACCATCCCTGTGCTGAGTTCCGAACTGGGCATCAAAGATACAGCAGTGAGAAAGAAATAGTTACATTTCTCCCCAGTATTCCAAATTAGAAGGGAAAATGTTGCTAACTTACACTACTGTTTAGTAATAAACAACTTGTCAAAAAATAATATGCGAGATTATCAGATGCATACATTGTGGTATTTTGGGGTAGTGTTTTTTTTTGTGCATTTAAGAAGGCATATTGTTACTTAGAAAGCATTTATTCTGGGCCATACATCAATTTTACCATATTGCTGTTATTTTCTAGGGGTCTTTCTTGAAAATAGATTTATTCTTAATTCATAAATAAAAATTATGTTTGAATATTCAGTTGTAATTAGGTTTGGTTAAACCTCTATTTGAGAACAGTAAGAGGCCTAGAACAGGGGTTGGCAGTTTACCAGCCATGGCTCCATCACACTTGCAGCCAATTGAAACACAGCCACACACATGGGTTTACGCATTGCCTGTCTCTGTATTTGAGTTACAACAGCAGAATCGAGTAGTTGTGGCAAAGACAGTGTGACCTGCAAAACCTAACATATTTACTATCTGGCCCTTTGTAGAAAAGTTTGCCAAGACCCGGTCTAAAATAATGGATGATTTTGTTTTGTTGTGCCTTTTTGTCTTTTAATCTTTAAATGCTGATTTTAGCCTGCTCTTTTATGCTTGAGGACAAACAGGATAGTATAACAGTTAGGAAAATGTATTCCACTTGGGTTCAGATTCTTGTTCTGCCATTTACTACTGTGTGACTCTGGGCAGGTTACTTAACCACTCTGTGGTCTGGCTACCTTGTCTGTTAAATGGCAGTGATAACAATATCTTCTCTGCAGGATATTATGATGATTAAATGAGATAATATACAAAAAACATTTAAAATAATAAGTGCTAAGTAGGTGTTCATTATTATTGTTACCTAAAGATTTTTTTAAAGAAGCATATAAAATTGAGGACAAATGGCTGGTCTTAAAGAAAAATTTAATGAGATTAAGAGTTAAATAATACAAAATAGTACTGTGCAAAATGATTTTTATCTCATGCTGCCCCTTTCAGTTATCTTAAATTAATATGGCACATTTTGCACTTTCAGCTGTTGTTGATGAAATCCACTCACTGATAGAGAAAAGCCGAAGACTAATCATTGTCCTAAGTAAAAGTTATATGTCTAATGAGGTCAGGTATGAACTTGAAAGTGGACTCCATGAAGCATTGGTGGAAAGAAAAATTAAAATAATCTTAATTGAATTTGCACCTGTTACTGACTTCACATTCTTGCCCCAATCACTAAAGCTTTTGAAATCTCACAGAGTTCTGAAGTGGAAGGCTAAACATTCTCTTTCTTATAACTCAAGGTTCTGGAAGAATCTTCTTTACTTAATGCCTGCAAAAACAGTCAAGCCAGGTAGAGAGGAATTGGAAGTCTTGCCTGTTCTTTCAGAGTCTTAATCTTCAGAAACGCTGAATGCCAAAAAGAACTTGAGATATTCTGGGGACTGAGCATATGAACCTGTTTGTTACAAAGGCTGTGACTCTAAATATTTAACTGTAAAAATCCTGCTCACAATTTGAAGAGGAACCTTGTCGGGAGTAAGACTAAAGGTTGAACTGTGGGCTGTGGCCATGTGCTCCCAGAAGACCTGGAATTCAAAAGAAATGGAGCTTTTCTTTTTCTCCCTCTTCCATAACTGGGTGCAGCTGCTCATACTTAATCCCATATTCAGCAAGTGTGAAGCTGGGCATGATGCAAAATAACCTATGCCTTACAAAAAGGGCGCATCTCCAAGAGTTTTAATCCCAGTGATTAAATGAGGGGATTTTAAGCGCACGAAGAGGCATTTTCTAGGGACCAGTGGGTGACAGAGTAACTGAAATGCTGCTTTCACTCCCTAACACCGTGGATCTGGTTGTGCATGGGATGTGGGAGGAGGGGCTGGCAGGGCCTCAGCCTCAGGATGCATTTAATGTATCCCAGCCACAGTTGCAGCCCAGTGGTTCTTGAGAGCCCAGTAAGGCCCTGCAATGCAGAGCCTGCTTATGAGGATCTATTTTGGGGAACTTCTTAAAAGGACCCCCGAATACCTTTTTATTTTTCACAAGAGACACAAATTCTAATTTAGAGAATTATCTGGGCCTTTCACTTTTGATGTTTTGAAACATTTGTTGATTTCGTGTGAATGTTTATATCAAAATGTTTGCCAGATTGTATCAGCCATTGAATAGCAAAACAAACAAACAAACAAACAAAAAAACCCTGATAGTTACTTGCTTGGTTTTTAAAAGTTACATATTTAAAATGCCGCTAGCATGAAGGCAGCATGGTGTGGCTGTTAAGAGACGGACTGTGGAGTCCATCAGGAGCTCCAATCCTGAGTTTGCTGTTTACTTTTGTGACCTCTGGAACTTTATCCAGTCTCTCTGTGCCTCAGTTTCCTCATCTGTAAAATTTGAATTTATGATAATTGGACCTATATCCCAAGGTCCAAATATAAGTACTTACAATGGTTCCTGGCACAGACTCAGCAGTCTGTCAGTGTTGCCATAACTATTTTTATCATCATTATTAATGATTACTTAGATCAGTTATTTAGCAGTGGACTATTGGAAGCTACAGAGCAGAGAAGGGAAGCAGATCTAGGGAGGACAGCAGCTTTGATTTGAGGATGTTTGCACACGTAGAAAAGCATATTGGAGAAGTGTATCCAGAGGGCAAAAGATATTCCTCCATTGAACATCCGCCTCTTTTAACGTTGAAAGACACATGTCTTTCTCCCTAAGGGAAGCCCAGCACTGGGAGCCTTCTTGATGATCTCAAAAATACTGGCTATCCAAGAAAACCACTGAGTGACTGTGAAACCATCAGTTTGGAAGCCTGGTTAGAACACACGGGAGAAACGTGAATGTTCTACAAAAGTTTAAAGCAGAGACTGTTTCAAATAGATGTGGTAGATATTACTGAAAACCAAAGAAGAGTGAAATTGCATGTGTAAGAATGTGATTTAATGTTTGTAGTGCTTACAATTTTGTGCACCAACTGGAGGGCTAAAAAGGAGAAAATAATTTAATAGCTCATATTTTATGTGTGAAAACATATTAGCAAAAATATATGATTAAAATAAATTTTATTGCTATAGCATAGTCTCTAATACATAGAATAATTTTGCTTTTCTCTTTTATTATACTTGCTTTAAAATAATTGAGACATATTTTGTATTAAATTCATTTCAAATTAAATGCGTTAAATGTATACATTAGATGTGTGCTTTAAAATGCATAAAATACTTTGAAATACATTAATTAACTATTGTTCTAATGCCTTTATTTTTTAAATGTCTTCACGTCTTTTTCACTTACTTTAAGATTCCAATTCCTCATTCACAACATGGACTTCTACCTGTTTTAATAGAATATGGGCACCTCTCTCTCTCTCTCTCTCTTTTTTTTTTTTTTTTAGAAAGAAA